CTACTAGTTTTTTCCAAACAATATAAAAATTATGGAGGATTCCCGATTTTATACCTGATGAAGTATACAACCAATCAGATCAAACTCGATACCAGAAATTACTCATTCTCAACGTTGGACGGATTCAGAAAAAAAGAGTAAAACGCATTATTCGCTTCGCTTAAAACCTGAAAATGAGTTGTTGTGGTGTGCGCATTAATAGTGATTTACATGTTAGGTAGAAAATCTTCAAATCTACTTCACGAACATCAGAATCGGTTATAGTCGTATTCCTTCTGTAAATACCTACAAATGTTTGCCACCCATACAACTCTACAGTATTTGATGAATAAATATTTCATTGAAAACACAATTTTGTGCAAAGTTGACTTTGAGTGATAAAATTGCTTTGATGAGATTTTTTCATTTTTAACTATCCATAAAAAATAAGCAATAAGATTTTTGAGACATGTGATATTGTGAGAATATGATATGATTAACCTTGAATAAAATATTATTATTTTATATATACTGAACTGTGAACATTACACAAAAAGTATTAAAATGAATAGTAATAAATAAAATAGTATTTTCTCGATTTGCAAAATCAATAAATTTCCCAATAGAACTTTGAATGTTATCCAATAAAAAACATAATCTAAAGATGTATACTTTTGAAAAGTACCTAATTAAAATATCATACAATAAAACTGTAGAACAAAATCATTTTTTTTTTGTTTTATATTGAAGCTTAAAAATTAAATTTTTTTACTTGAATTTCGAGGTGTAATATTATGCTATGAATTATAATCACATTCTGTTAATTATACAGAGTAATTTACTAAGCATGCTAACCCCATTTTTCTTTAATAATGCAGTTATAAAAAATGTTTTGGAGATACAAACTTCTGTTTATCAAATGAAAACGCCCCTCATCTCCCCATTTTCACAGTAAATTATTTGGGGGATATTATTTTTAAATATATTGTATCAGAATCAAAATTCAAACGAGTACTTTTTGAGTCCTTTAACTCTGTGTATTAAAGATAATAGGTCAATGATAAAGATAAGATTTGAAGATAACATCAGGGCTTTGGTGATTTGACAATTATAGTGATAAATATTAAACTATTAACAATAATTATTTTTAAAAATGGTTTAAGTATGATAAATACTAGATCCAATATTACATCAAATTTATATACTTGTAAAACCGTTTTAAGAACTATTATTATTCTTAAAATAAACATTTGGTGTGAAACTACTCGTTGAGATTTTGAATTGCGTGCATCAAAAATTTAATAAGGATTTTAAATAAAAACCGCGTTCTCATTTGAAAAACTGAAGCTTAGTGACTGTAGTAATACATACTGGGCACTTCTTAATAAGTACATAATATTCAATATTTTGAAAATATCATATTTGAGTATAATTAAAAATTCCAAAAATTATAATTTTAATAAATTCATTATTAAAAAAAAAAATGGGGATGATATCATTGCAGGTGAATCACTCCGTATATCCAGTATAATATATTATGTACAATATTTTTATTTATATCGTCACCCGAAGATACGCATAAGAAAATTATTAAATTACCTATACAATAATATGAATAAAAAATGTACAATTGTATGCAGCTTTAAACAAAACTCTGAGACTGAAAAAATTTAAATCGTAATTTGCGTTATTCTGAAATTTGTAACTATTAGTTGCCAACTGGATGAATATGAAAATACAATAACAATTTATAATGATTGCGTAATTTGAATTCAATAAGTCGAACTTATAAAAAATACTAAATACTTGTAAAATTAAATTATAGATAGGTACTAATTACACGACTAACCTATTCTAAATTATTAATAATAAATGATCAACGTTAACTATATATCATGTAATGTACCTTGTATTTGCTTCTTAAGTATTATAATAATTCAAATTTGGTATAATATTATTACATTATAAGTATATTTATCATTATTGGAAAGTATTGATTTGATATTGATGCTTTTAATGGGTTAAATACAAAATATAATCTTATATAGAATGAAAGTGATGTAGGTAGGTATATAATTAATGTGCTCACCTAGGCGTAATAAGCGCTTTTGACACAAATTTATAAAAAATTAACGTTTCATGTAACTTGTTTATTTTTAGATAACAAAATGTGTGTAGGTACACTTACAGAAAAAGAATAATTTCAATTTTAACTAACTACTTGGTGTATTAATTTCCTTCTGTAATATGTACACAAAATAAAGTATACAATAAGATAAGTAAATAGTATAATTTTACCATGTACTTGATGAAAATCCATTCTAGATTTGAATTCATTTCTTCGGAATATAAATTAGTTTTGATATTTACGAAAATATATATTTAGAAGTATAACAATTATTGTTGATGACATTTGGTAAGCTTAGAAATAACATAAATATATCGAATTTAAGAGTTAGAGTAAGTCAGAGTATTTGTAAGATTTTGATTTTTTTTTCAGCACTTTAATGTAACCATAAGTCAAAGTTTAAAATTTAAAATTTAATTATATACCTATCAATTTTAAAACCGGTTTAGTAATTTTATAAGTGCGCTTTAAATTTAATAAGCCCCTATCAATATTGACTAACTTTGAACAATACATTAATGATTGATATCCTCCTGCCACTTTAATCTGGGCTTTACCCTGTACATTGTACGTTTACCCAAATTCCGAATAGAATTAGGTCAATTATATGTAATTAGTTAAAAATGTATATACCTACATCATGAGGATATACTTTTAAACAATAATCAAACATTATATAGATAGTATACTACACCGATTTAGCAATATAAATAGATTATATTATGTTATAGACCTTGAACACATATAATAATGAAGCTACTGCATGGAAGTTTGAAATGAAAATTAAAACAGCTGAATGTATACTGAATATGAATGTATAAGTTGTTTTATTTTGTACAAATATCAAATATAGTTTAAAATGTTTAATATTTTTAATATATTACAATTTTCTATTGGACTATTAATATTTCTACTTTAATTCACCTTTTTTCATATACCTACTATAAGAAGTACGACGAATAGATACGAGAAACCGTCGACGTTAAGTCTCATAATATATTATCTCTTATAATGTTTTATAATTTTAAGCACCTAATTCTTAATTAATATACGAATAGTAGATAATCACCTAACTAAAATAAGAGATTACTAACTACTAAATAAATATTGTATATCTGTTAGCTATATTAATTAGTAGGTTAATGGTTATGTAACAGGGAGACCAGACAAATTAAATAACTTGTTCCAATCAATATTTTTATGTTTATTTGTATATAAATATGATTGATCGGTGCGCTTCTCTCTACCTACCATTTAACATTTTTATTTTTTAACACTGAAAATAAAAAAAAATTAATTTAATGAACATTTTTTTTTAAATTCAAAATATCTAATTTGTCAATAAGAATTTAAAAAAAATATTTAATTGTAAAAATATTTACCTGAGTAAAGTGGCTTATTTTTTGAAGTAAGACTCAATAATTTGAAAAGTTATGACTTTTTAAAAAAATATTTAGATTTTAACAAGTAACTATTTAAAATTTCTTATAAAATATTTTTAAAAAATTGGTATTTTTTAAATTCAAAATCTTTTTATCACTAGATCAACTAATTACATAACAAAAATAATAAGATTTCAACAAATTGTAAAAATAAACTATATGACTCAAATAAATGTTTTTACAATCAAAGTTGTCTATAATCCAAATTTATAAATTGGCTATTTTGAATTTTTCAAAATAAATATAAATCAGATTTAAAATTTTTTATTTTCAGTATAATAAAATAAAAATAAAAATTGTTACATTATACGAGTAGCGTAATAGTCAATAAATTAGAATAAAATATATTTCATCTTTCAGGCCTTCATCTTATACGTGTAATGTGTCATTCCACATCGGACGACAACGGAAAATCGTCAAAGAGTCTATAGAGTCTTGTATAAAAGTATAATGGACGCAGTAATAACTTTACACAGAAATATTTGTTGTTAAATAACCATAGTAAATTATTAAGTTAAATTAATATGCTTGCTGATCGTTATCGATTACCAATTATTGCATATTATAATATCATCAAGTCTGTGAATATGACACATTTCATAATATTAATTTAAAAGTTAATATTAAGACAACATCAAATTATAATTACTAAAAATTGCATTGAAAAAACGATAATTTTAACTTTTGAGTACAAAATAATTGAACTATTAGGTTAAATTAATTGTTTTCCTTTTATATTAGGTAAGTAGGTATGCCACTACAATAATTAAAAAAAAATAATTTTTTCCTTGAGGGTGACCCTTCCAATAAAATAGCACTCTCCTTGTGATAAAAATATATTTTGGTTTCAATGAATTTCAAGTTTGTGAATGCGAATGAATAAGTTTCATTGTATTATAATTGATATGTATAATAGGTACCTAATCTAGTACATCTATATTATCTTGTATCGTGTCTAGAACTAAAAACCAAAATATAATTAGTATACGGATGATGGATTTTACTTTTAATTATATGAAATATAGTAATATGGTACGTTATTTATTCAAAATTCAAAATTGTTTGTGTGTTTGTGTAAGACGACCTTAACAAAATTAGTTTTAAAATAACGGTCATTTCACAAAATAGTTTTCCTCAAAAAATTGTTGTCCATATGTCAACAACAACAACAACAACAATAATAATAATAATAATAATAATAATAATAATAATAATAATAATAATAATAATAATAATAACAATATAATAATTAGCATTAATTGTAATATACGGCTTATTATTATTATAACAAACGATACGATTATATGAAGTTAGGTAAGTTAACCGGTTTATTCGTGAGAAGGAAAAAATTGAAGACTGGTTTGGGTATTTCCTTGGATAACATTCATATATAAGTTGAAGGTCAATACACTGGAAGTGATTAAAATTTAGTTTACAACAAATATTGGCGAAATAAGAAACGTGCGCGGACCCTATATAAGCAGTAACCGGCAGATGCAGAAGATCAGTGTTCAGTGAACATAACATTTTCAAAGACGAATATTCAGCAATCTCAAGAATCATGAAATCTTACACAGCGGTATGTATTGCTTGTTCAATATTATTGTTAGTCCATTACATTTTTAAATTTGAGTTGTAAAAAAATTTTTTATCAAATACATAGTCTTATTAACGTAATATACGAATAACTTAGACTTGTTAGCCATTTTGAGGTATTCAAAAACAACTAATGTTTTTTAGTCAAATGTAAATAGCCTGATTCAATCTGTACAGTACATAATCGTTGAAAAATTCATATCTGTCTTAAAAACTGATTTTCAAGAAGAAAATAAAAAACAAAAATTCCATGCCAGAAAAAACAAAATATTTACTCTGTTCAATAACTAAAATAATTAAAATAATTTTTCCTAAAATGGGGTTAAATTTTTTTTCGAACCTAATATTTTATATTAATTACTACTAAACTGTTGTACTTTAAATTTATTTCATGAGTCATGAACCTACTATAGTTACATTTATGTAACAATAGTATGGATAATATTTTTAAATGTACATAATACATTACAGATTATTGAAATAATTTTTTACCTATTTTAGCGATTTATTGGTTTATCATTAATTTTATTTTTAATTGTTAAAATATTTGTGATAAAATTATATCCATTTCTTAAATATATAAAAAGTTAAAAATATCAATATTTCTAAGAATTATATCATACGATGTAGGTATAGATTACTAAAAAATAAACTTTATATTGATTGAAATATTATTGTTGTACAGATATTGGCTTTGTGCCTTGTCGTCCTCGTGATGACTCAACAAGCAACTTCCGAACCAGAACCTGCACCAGCCAAGGGCCACAATGGTGGATATGGTGGTGGATATGGTGGTGGACACGGTGGCGGACACGGTGGCGGATATAATGGTGGACACGGTGGTGGTGGACACAATGGTGGATATGGTGGACATGGTGGACACAATGGTGGTGGACACAACGGTGGATACGGTGGACATGGTGGACACGGACATGGTGGTGGTGGACACGGACATGGCGGTGGTGGATACGGACATGGAGGTGGTGGACACGGAGGACATGGTTACGGACATCATTAGAACAATTTATAATTCTAGCCCATACAGTACAATAATATTAAAAAAGTTAAAATTTTTTTTCATACCATGTTTAATCCAAAACCTGAATAAACGATAATTTATCATGGGATTTTCACCCATTTCAAACAATTGAGTGTTTATTATTTTTTTTCACATCTAATCAACATTGTGATATGAAAAAAAAACACAAATAATATACCATTGACTTAACTACAATAAGTATTTGGTTAACATTTTATCATTGTCAACAAAACATAAAATATAGTTGCAGGGGTAAAAATCATAATAATTTTATAATATCATATTTAACTTTTTGAATACTTCTTATACCTACAAAACCATTTTTACATACCCGCACAACATCATACAAACAAGCTTACTCAAAACATTCAAAATCAGGATAGGAACACTACACATTGTATAGTTTGATTATAAATTATCAGTATAATCAGTTGCGGTTTACCAAATTGAAAATAACTTTACAAAATATAAACTCAAATTTCAAGTATTTTTATGATCTTATATAATTAAATATTTCTTGTCAATATATACTATTTAAATCATAATATCAATTTTTACGACGCGTCGTAGTTTTAACCCAAAACGAAAAACACGTTTACATACAAAATTGGTACCACCTAGGTAACATATAGTATAAATATATAGTAACCTACATAGTTTTAAGTTGTATTGAATAATAATAATATGGTATCTATAGTGCTGAGAAAGTAAAATATAAAATGTTTTAGTAAAAGTCATATTACTATCTGATGTACATTTTTGGGTATTATTTACAATTCATAATTATTGAGATTTAAGTTATATTTAACGGTTAAATACTTCGGCTGAAATTACAAATCATGTTTATTTTTTATTTGCCATAAACATTACAGCAGTCAGCACCGCCAATATATAAATATTGAAATATGATACACACAAGTAAATAAAAATTAGTTGAGCTAATTACGTTTCCAATGTTTATAATTTATTGACTTCTTTGTCAAATATAATATACAAATGTCTTAGAGTATCACAAAAAATAACTTGTTCCGAAAACTTAGTTAAGTTTTCCTTATAATATAATATATACCTATAGCAATCTACATCTCCATTACGACCAACAATGTTATAATAAAGAATCCGCTTCGTTGTAACTTGTAAGTAAATAATAACAATATAGGTCCGTACACGCACACCAGTTTACATTCGTAAAGGTAAAGCACCTTGTAGCCAAGGAAAGTTAAGTACCGAATATGTTTTTAATGGAATTTTTAAAATAGTTTTTATCAAAGTAAAAAGGATCTCTGCTGACACTGCAACTGTCTGTAGAGAGGTTTTAAATTACGTAATTTCTAAAATAACTCTACACAAAACCTACTCGGTGTCTGCAGATTTTCCAGGCTAAAGCACGCTTTTAAAATCATCGTGGTATAGTCTCCTGCATATAAAACAATATACAATGCGAGTTTTTCAACAGTTATCACTTATCCACTTGATACATTTTCAATCAATTTTGATATTTTAAAAATTAAAACAAGACTAAAAGTACCTACCTAGCTGTTTTGAAAATTTCAAAAATAAAATGTAAATAACTGTTTGACCGAGGGGGGGGGGATCAATCAAGTATCAATAACACATGTAATACTTTCAATTGGCTTATTGGCCCCGCGATAGTCGATGAACTAAGTGGTTTCGTTAGGTGGATTACGGGGTCATTATTGATACTTGCAGTATTATAGACATTCGAGTCAAATTCGTTCCGGTGTTCGGACTTAAAGTAATTACAAGTGGACTTGTTCCACTTTCCGATAATTTTTCACTCGTTATATCAATATATATATATATATATAGCATGTATGTAACTACATTAAAAGTTTTCTCAACTTGTTGTAATTATAATAAAGACTACTATTATTGGTATACACAGCGCACTTACCTAATTTTATTATAATATCATATACGGAAAAATGTATAACGCAATATCATACTGAGATACTTCAAAATTGATTACGTGGTAATGGGTTAACATGTCGTGAATAGAAAAAAACGTTTACCTATAGTTCTTAATAACCTATACACGGCTAATCATAACTACTAGTCGAAATTGCTTCTAATTTATTATTTAATGACTGTATTAAATTTAATATTATTTTCAATGTATAGAATTATATTAATCAAATATTAATACGATTGCTTAACCTAACCTCTTTGACAATATATTTTATTTTAATTATAGTAAATATCGTACTAACTACTCAGTACTTACTAATCTCACAATATATGGTGCTGAATTCATGTATGGTCGCAGGTCAATAACAATACTTCTTTCATCTTCATCAACTTTTAATCTCTGAAAAGTGTTTATGTAAATTATTTAATTTTATAAATGTTGAAACTATAATTAAGGGGCAACACTTCAAAAATAAAAATTCATGTCATATTATACATATGACGTATGTATAGACGAGTGTATCTATAAATTATTGAACAATTTTACCAATTCCAATCATCAATTCCTCCAGATACACCATCTATATATAATATATACATATATGTATTTATATATAGATAGATAGTATGCACTATGAAGCAATAACTATCAAAAATGTTACCATACAAGTATACAACTTACTATCAACAAAATCATAAACATTCTTGTTGGAAAGTATAATTAAAATTGTCTGTAACAAACCTGAAACTGTTGAGTGTCGTGACAAGTATACGTGGACTTTCTAAGGAGCTCCAATTTTGTACAATAATTTTCATCGTGCAAAGGAGTGAGGTATAAATTGTGCTCAAGGATGACGTTTAACTGAGACCGAAGAATAAATCCTTTAAGTAAGCCATAGCATTTATGCTCTATATTCCTTCTCTGTGAACAATGTTTTAGAAGACATTAAGACATTATTAACAAGTTGTGAAACTTGGTAAATCCCTTATTCATATATTTACCCGGCAGAAACAAACTTTTGATGCTACCACGGGAAACCCGTTATGTTTAGTTGAGTTCAATATATCCACTAATTTTCCAACCATTAGTATGTGAGGTATTGCACAGACTATATCACTCATAAAGTCTTCTGTCGTTATATCACTAGTTAAAGGCGGTGGTTCGCTTACTAATAAAGGAACACCAGACAGCTTAATCTGCATTTCATAAATACCCTTAAACACATAAATCTAAGATAATCACAACTAAAATCACTTTTCTTCATACTATGCAGTACTTATCACATTTACATAAATCATTTTGAGTTAAAAGTTATGTAGTCTATATAATTGTCATCCAATTGAAAATTAATAAATGTATATATTACAATATATTTACATTATTACCTTGCATCGAATCGTACATAGCTTATATTATGCAGTTAATACATTTAGTTTATACTTTGTTTTGTAATTCCAGTAAGAAAAACTCACGAAGCCTCTGGTACTACATTTTTAGTTTTTTAACTTAGAAAAAAATGGTATAAATATTGCCACATAGATACATCGAAAAAAAACTAAAAAAAATCAGATATCTAAAATGTCTTTACTTATATTCAACTTTAAAAGATCTAAAATATTTTGAAAATTATAGCATGATTAGCAAATGATAATGTAAATAACTATTAAACATATCAAGTACATACATTGCTTATATATTTTCGGTTTTCCAAAATATTATTTATTGGCTTTAATAACTTAAAAAATTATTGAGAAGACAGAATACATTTTCCAAAAACACTCTCTTAATGTTGAAGATTTGACCAAATACTACCTACCATACACACAAATCTACAACCTATGATTTTTATTTTGTTTGATAAATGCGTATTTTAATCAGTTAATAAGTTAGTGTTTTGAACAATTCAGAGTGTTTAGAACCTTAAAGTCCATTAAGTAAATAAGTTGATACAAATAAATATTTTCCGACCAAATAATATATTGATACGCCTATGCGATGATTAAATATAAAATAATTTCAAATATATCTATGTGTCATATTATAATACTATAATATATCATAGTGATGCATGTTATAATAGTTTTTGCAACTTACGTCTGTAAAAAAATCACCAGTCCATTTAGCTGTGAATAAAGTTATCATCAGTGGCAACAAGAACTGAACATTGCCTGTGGCTTCAATAAATACAACTGTCAGACTTATAGTGGCTCTGACGATTCCTCCCAATTGCGCAGCAGCTCCAAGTAATGCGTATTTTCCTGGGTCGTTTCCAATCTGCAATTAATATGAAACTGTTTATCAATAAAATAAAATAAATACTTCACAAGATCGAAATTGAAGTGGTACGTGTTAAGTTTCTAAACATAAGTTTAGAACACCTTACATCCTCGCTGTGTTCACCCGTTAGTTACCAGTACATTGTTACGATAGTTCGTATTAAGATATTTAATTAAGATTGTTGATTTTAAGTAACTATTATTATAGTACAAGCATTCAAACTATCCAAAGTATTAAGGCATTTGGAAATATAGTTTATGGCTTTGTATTAAAATACGTTTAGAAACCTGGAATTTATCTAGCTCACAGAGAGCTTTCCAAACTCGTTTATTTAAAATAGCAATATTATTTTTAAAAAAAACATAGGTACAAATAGCGATTGTTAGTTATTAATGTTATTATATATTTAATGAAACACTTTCAAGATATCTCTTACATAAAATGTGCTCATCTCCACAGATATAGCATTATTATAGCATTGCACATTTTCAGAAATAATCTTTTTCTGGAGATAATTCCCTCCCCCAATAGATGGGTTCAGAATTCGCTGTGTCGTGTTGTGTTACTTATTATATAATATATAATTTATATGATACAATTCGTTGGTAACAGAATGTTGGCAACACGTTATACTGACAATACAAGTTGTATGTTATTGTTATATTCAACTTTGTTTGACACGTATGTTTTGAACCATTACTTATAACTTTAATTTGTTTCTGGATAAACAAAACTTTTATGAATACAATTAAACCACTTTTTGACATATTATAACGAAAGTAAATACCTAATATTCAACAACGTGGATTTAGACTGTATGAGCAAATATTTGTAGAAATTAAACTTCAAACCAGTATGATGAGTATAGAAAGTACCTGAGACTTAAAATGTTCAGAATTTAATTTCAATTATTTATAAGATATGAACTAGGGAGTGGATTCAAATAATATCCTAAAACAACACGAAAAATGACATAAAAAAATACGACTTACTGCTCTAATAATATTACAAGACATAAAAAATTATCAAATAAAAACTACCCGTATCCTACTCACCAATCAGTATTATTTAAATTTCCGTAATTGGGAGTATCGGTATTGTAAGTCATGAAAAAAAATACCTATCTATAGAATATAGTCGTATGCGAATCTATCTGCAAGTGACGCTAATGTCGTAAGTCAGATCGTTGTGCAGCCACCGCCGTTTTTCTCTGACACATTGATAAAAACATACGTAATCAAAATAATATAATAAGACAAATAAATAACTCCTATTTATTATTTTTTTTTTTTTTTTTGAGGGGGGGGGGGTGGTTTATTATAAATGTTGATCAAATTTTATGCATTTTTATAAAATCTTTGAAAAAAATATTCAAAATTAAATAAATTTCCAAAAAATACTCTCAACATGAAAAATAGGAAAAAAAGTTTTATTTTAAAGTTCTGAATGCATCTGACATATGAAACAAATTATGTAATTAGAACGCAATGTTTTGAAACATTCAGAAACAAATAAAATTTTCATTTAAATCCATGCCTTAGTTATGACTTATTCAAATAACAACTATAGTCTATAATTAACATACAATTAATTTTCAAATAAAAACTTTTTGTAAAAAAAGAGGGGATAAAAATATAATAATATAGTTGTTATCTTAAAATGTTCTACTCTTAAAAGTTTTTAAAATATGAAAAAAACAATTGTTTTCTACTCGAGTTTATAGTTTAATTATAGAAGTTTAATTAGTTCATATATTATAGTATTCAAATATAACGTATATATTATATTGTTATGTAACAATAGTTTATTTTAACTAAGCTGGAAAAATATATAAAAAGTAAACATATTTAATGCTTTCAAAATTTAACTCATACATTTGTTATTAATTGCTTAGTTGTATTATATTATTTAATATTAATGCTATCACATAGCCACTTACAGTACCAGGAGAATAATAATGAATAGCTATGCTTGCAATGCGTCCCCAAGCAGCTCCAATCAATAACGAAGGTAAAAACAATCCAGCTGACATGTTAAGGCCGACAATTAACTCGGTTAATATGAAAAAAATTACACAATAAACTAATAATGGAACGACTGAATATGCTTCTGTAAATAATAGGAAAAGATTAAATAAATAACTATTACCAAATTCTAAAAAAATATTATCAATTAATAGGTATGTTTTATTTTATTAGTATAATACATTAATTATTATTGAAAATAATTAAAACAATTAAAATTATTATTTGTATTGAAAAGTAAGAAAATTAATACAATAACTTGAATAAATAAAATGATGAGAAACTTTCTTAAAAATTGAAATTGTTGTAAACAATATTTCCTTAATGTCCTTACCATGCATAAATTGAATAATAATTTTATATATTTATTATTTTAATATTATAAATGAATATAGCACATACCTTGTAATAATGTAAAAAATATATATGTTTTTTTTTTAATTAAGAAGAAAAGCCTCGATAACGTGACCATTGGCTTGTTTTTACATATAATGATAACTTAAATTAGATTGTACAGTTCAGTATCTTTCAAAAATAAAATTATATTTTGGGTAAAATATATTATGTGTATTGCTTATGTTTTTATATTTTAGATTTATCATTTAAGATTCTTTTTATTTTTTATCTAATTTTAAAGATGTTCATTCCCAAATAAAATCAATTTCTTTTATATAATTTACACAATGGACGATTTTACATTTGAAAATATTTATGTAAATATAAAGTCCTTAATATTTATACAATGTAAAAATTAAATTTGAGTGACTGCATTATATTTTTTAGTTTGGTATATTATTATGAAAAAAAAATGCTTGTATTATTGACTTTTATAAATCGAATACGAATATTGTATTTATAAGATTCAAATACAAGTGTTAAATTAACTAAACACAATAACACAAAAAATCTATAATTACCAATTGGATAATGGAATAATGATCTGATATTTTCTTCTTGACTACGAAGCCAAAATGAGCTTATTTCATTATAACTCCCTGCTGGACAATACATCTGCAACAAACCTATCATAAAGGTAAAAGCCGTTTTCATAATAACTATAATCTTAAGCTATAAAAATTTTCGTTTAGTTTTAATTTAAATTAATACTTATCACTAAACACCATTTAAATTCATCATCAGGTACGTTTTTTATAATTAACATTATAACAGACAATTGATAAATAATAATGCGTAAAAACTTTTAATACAAAAAATTGATCTATAGATTTCAAATCAAAAATAAATATTGCAGTTTAGTGTACATTTATTATAATATGCAAATGTATATAAAGCCATTTAAACTCAAACTTTTCGGAATAAACACTTTGGAGATTATAATTTTAAGTTCTTATGCGATATATCTAGTTGTTTGTAATGTAAAATTGTTAAGTATTAATTGTAAGTTTGTGCCTATATGACTGTTTAAACTAATTTTATATTCATAGAGAAAAGTATAGAATCAACTAACAATGAAAATAATGTTAGGCAGTGAGGGGAAATTAATTAAAAAGATAAAGACACGTTTAACTTATTATTCTATTAGATTATTTTTAGCGTATTTCTTACTTGTACTGCATTAGACGAGCTTATCTCTAGTTTTGTTTGGCAGTTGTTGAACAAAATCATGGATGTTAAATTAATTATTGCAACAAACACTGCGACGAATACAGATTCTAGAAGTTTTTTTCTATTGGATATGATGTGTCTAAACAAATAAAACGTAATGTTTATTAAAATATATTATTTCATAACTTGTTGAAAATAAATAAATTTATAAAAACGAACTTCATTCTGAAAATTGATAAACGATAATTAATATTGACAAATAAAGCTCCAAGTAAACCGCCGAATATCCCAAATATAATAAAAATGGGGAATTCTGAATAGGAAAAATAAATTGTGTTTTCATTAAACTTCCCAAAAAAGTAAATACTTTTGCTGTGAACAGATTCTGATGGATCTATAGAAAAGTATAAGTATATTAAATCTTTTATTATGAGGCACATCGTACATTTGTGTAGTACAAGAAAACTCACTTGTATTATTAGTAAACAGTACGTTTTTACCAGCGTTATATGTTGGAAAAGCTATTGCTGCACAAAAAAACACTTTCCACATAAGACTTGAGCTCCAAAAACTTGTTCCTTCTTCAAGACTCATTAATGTCCCTCCTAAAAAAAAACAAAAACAAATAAATATAAAAGTTTCTATTTTAGAAAATTTAGAAATATATAATAAGTCACGTAAATGTTATAGTTTTTCTTTTAACCATTACATTTTTTTGCCGCTATTTTTTCATTATATTTTTATATTTTTTGTATTCATAATTTATTGACTTATTTATTTAAATGCTATTAACAATGGATAACAGATTTACTAATTAAAAAATATATCACGAGGAATTAATAGATATTCATACGTAGTAAATAATTTCCAATAATTTATTAAACATTTTCAAATATTAATACTGCTGTGTTTCATCTATTTTAGATCTTCGTAATATCTAACAAGCTAGTTGACCATCACTACCTGTCACCTAAAAATCGTCTGCACGATGAGTGTAAAGTTCAAAGATAATTAGATAAGACACCAGGTATTAAAATAAAGTTTGTTATTCTCAACATTGCATTTAAGATCCAGTTCAAAATAATAAAATATATTATATTGAAGTAGAACGATTTTTTTAAAGTTTTTTTTCTGCTTACGATGAGAACGAATATTTTTAATTTCATATCCTGAAGCAGATTTTTCTTCTATTATTTCAAAAGACAATTTTTTATTTATACGCATTTTGAGTTCAGACAAGTGGTAAAGCGTCAGACCTTTAAAGGATAGGTATCCCTCGAATATGAGCTATACCAAACATTTTAAGAGCATTTCCGACTTCCGTTAAACATTTTCAACTTAGCTGCAACTTTCATTTGTGGCATCCAATTAATAAAATAGTAATTGTCTCATACAACTGAATGACATCGAATAGGTATTAATATAATTAATAAAGGTTTCCATTAGTTATAAAAGTGTGTCATCAATATTAGTCGATATAGAAATAATACGATCCCGTTGTAAATATAGTACAATTTAGTGCAAAAGTGTACTTATATTATAATACATATTTTCGATTGTCAACACTATAGGTAATATTTTATGAAAACTAAAATGATATATTTACCTACAGGTGATCCAAAAGCAGCAGATAATCCCGCTGCAGCACCTGCCGCCATCATGTCTCTCCTTTCTCGATCATTTTGTAAAGGTCCGATGACTTTCCGGCCAGGACCGTTTCTAAAACTTTTCCACCAAGCTTCAACGACTGAACCACCAACCATTGCTCCAATGTGGATCAATGGTCCTTCCTAAAATATTGATACTTTTTTATTAATGAGTATCCAATAAATGTGCTCAATAACTGTTTCAATATATAAATATTAATTTAAAATACATAAAAGTTGTACAAACACAATTTTATTTACTTAATAACATTCTTTGTTTTTCGATACGTGTATGAACATACGCTTTATTATCATTATTATTATTATATTTTTATTTTTTAAATTATTACTCCAGGTTACTGAAAACCGTAATTAAAATTTGATTTTACAATAGTACCAAATCAAGGTTCCTCATATAAAATTTTATAATGCAAAATATTTTATTTTCAGTAAACTTTGTTGAACAAATCACATTCTTGAATTGTTTTACTACTCAAAGATTGTCTCGTGGTGATACAAACTTCTGTTTTTCAAATGAGAACCCCTCTCATACGGTAAATTAGTTAATGGGTAATTTTTTCGAAAATCTTGATGTACCACATTCAAAATTCAAATGAGTGGTTTCTCAGTTATTAAAATGTTTGTATTAAGGATAATAGTCCTTAAAACTGGTTGTACATAAATACAAAGTAGAAGTGAAATTGGATCCAGTATTATACTTGGGCCATTTTTACAAATTATTTATATCGATAGATTAATATGAATGACTACAATTCACCATAGTCCCCATTTCTTAAAAATTCATTACTAAGGACCTTTTACCGTTAGAACTCAAAGTTAAATAACTCAAAAACTACTTTGATACTTCAAAAATTTCAGAAAAATGATCTGCTGTATAATTTATAGTTGAATAGTCTTGTTTTCATTTGAAAAACTGAAGTTTGTATCTCCACAGGACACTTTTTAAGTAGTATAAAAAAAAAATCTCAAGAATTTGAAAATATGGTCATAAAGTAAATTTAAAAATTTAAAAAACCAGATTTTGAATAACTAACTGTACTATCGAAGAAAAAAGAGGGTGAGCATGCTTGGTGAATCACCCTGTATATCAATAAGTGATGTAGATAATGATCAAATATTTCACTACCAGTTAAATGATGTGGTTCAAGATCTTTTTATTATTGATTAAAAATTAAGATAAACAAAATAGCACAATTTATTATTATTGTTAGCGATAGAATCGTAACAAAATATACCAAATACCTTTCCTCCACCAAGACCTGCTATGCAGACGCACACCACGCTTATTACTTTTACCAATAAACATCGAACAGCCGTCATTCTTGGTATACGAATTCCGTTTAAATAAGATATTACAAATGGAATACCACTTCCAGCAGCAGAGGGCTAAATTAAATATAACAATAGAGTATTAACTGTTATAATGCGGAGTAAAATATACAAAATATTATCGGTAAAAGGAAAATATGGTTTTTTATATGAATTGAACAATTTAAAGAACGTTATTAATTTTAAATGGTATGATTATGGAAAATAATAATGTACAGCATTTTTTTTTCACCGATTTTGTGTTATTCAAAATATGAGTATCTATGGCCTGTAGAGAAAAATAACTCCTATATATCTGATGTTTATAAAATATATATATATGTTATATGTATATGTATGGTGTTAATCATATACAGCAATGACTATAATTGAATTAGTTTGTTGTAAACCTACCAGTTAAAAAAATTTATGTAGAATGTACTGAATTTATACAACTTGAATTACTCAAAACATTTTTTTTATAAATAGTTTATTACTAATCAATTTGTTTTAAAGCAAAATAGTTTGAAACATAGTTTCTAGACAATGTTGAGTAACTATTTAATGGGTATTTTAGTATTTTAGCAAGGTTGATATAGTTGAAATTACTGTAATACCTACTTGGTTTTTAATATTTATATTAGCTACCACCAAAGACGTCATAACATTATACAAACTATTATACATAATTTTATAGTATTAACCTCCATAAATAGCACTACACAACATCCAACAATCGTAGGGATGACGGTGAAAAGTATCCAAATAATCAGGCACTCTACCGTTGAGTGCTTAACATCAATACAATTTCGAATCGATTGAAACTTCCAATTACAGAAATATTCAATTACAGTATCAATAAAAATTCCAACTGCTGCAGTACATATGGCAATCGAAAAATAAATAAGCCATCTAATCACATTACTCGCCACTACTGTCTTATAACCGTTTAACTTTTCTTCTCTAACAGTAAGTTCACTTTCGTAATGATCGTAATCCAAACTCTAAAAACATAATAATTTATCGTATTATTAAATAATTCGATTAGGATCATAAAAGAACATCCCAATACATTATAACTTATAAGCAATAGTTAAAATCTCACTTCATAATCCGACGATACGTAATTTATTGAGTGCGATCTAGGTTTCGAGTTCACTGCAGATAAAGTGTTACTAATTGTTGACAGGCTGGATCCCTGCAAAAATAAATAAATCTAAAATCCATATTTGTATGATAATACAATTGAAATAAAAATAACCAAAAAAAGTAGGCAGTACCTATAGGTATATTTTTCTTTAAACCGAACAGTACAGTTATCTGTTTGGAAAGCTTTTATCAAACGATGGTTTTTATGGATACTGTGTTAATTTCATGTTATTTGTCATTCAAGTGTATAGCTTTGGCTTGTAAGTGTATAGTTATCCTAATTACTTGTTGTATTTAAAATACAAATTTTAAGTTTTTTTTAATAACTATCCCATACAGTTCAATAAATTATTGTCTCCTGGGATAACTTTTATTACCCGTATAATTAATAAAGGAAAACCCAATAATGTCTTTTGGTGTTTCGAATTCAGCCTAATAAAATGTTAAATATACAAGGTGCATCCTATATGGCTATATACTTATTATGTTTGTTTAAATGGACTAGAAATGTCGTAATAAAACAAATTAAAAGCTTCGCATCAATGCCAAATGTCGACCTCTGCCTCGGTCGGGCATTCATCCAGTTGGCAAAAAATATATATATGTATATATATATATAATGGTTTTTTTTTATTACTGTTTGGCATTTGGTGTCATTAAAACTCAATATGACCGAACATTTTGGGAACAATTTAAATAAATTTATTATAAGTACAGCTACTATATTTGTTAGTTTATGGTTAATATTATTTTTTTAAAACAGTGTATTAATTAAAGATGTGTAAAAAAACTCAATAATTAACGTTATAGAATATTTATGAAGTATTCCAAAAAACAACAAATAAAATAAAATTATGAATAGAAGCTAATATTTAGAAATATAATAAATATTCTATTAAATTGTACATAACAATATTTGATTTAAAATATTTTAGGAACAATTTTAAATATACCAGTGGAAACAACAAAACTTTAATGATTTTATGGTATTTATGATTATAATTTGTAGGTTGATCCTAGAAATGTAGTTTGAACAAAACATTTTGATAAATACCTCACGATTGTGATTGATACATCCAACTCCGCTCATGAATTTCGACTTATGCCAATTATAATTTAAAACGTGCGTAGTAAATCCATAGTTATCGATTTCATTATTCTAATAAAAAAAATACATATACATAGATAATGGAATTATAATCAGTAACACCAGTAGAATTATTAATGTAATATAAACTTGCCATTTTATTTTTTAAATAATTAATATAGGTTTACATCAATTCTAACAGAAGTTATTGTCAAAACACTAACAAATAATTTCTTAACGATTTGTGTAATTATCGGCGGCGATGTAACACACTGACTGCAGTTGCTCTATTGGCACAAAAATTAAATTTATCACACAACGACTACCAATGAAATGTTTTTTGTGGCTTATAAAACATTTCGTCATAATGGTATTGTACTTTCTGTATGGTTTTATTATAGTTCTAAGTTTGACACAATTCTAAATCGTATAAACTGTTTAACTATACATATTCAGCCTATGGCTAAAATATTTGTTTAAATTAATTATTTTCAATACATTACATTATTTTGATATTCTTTTATACATAGGTACATAGGATATATAAAAATAATAAATAATAAATTTTTATATAAATTCATACAATATACACATAGTATACAACAATAAATTATGTAATTTAAATTCAGGTTGAGTGAACTTGATAAATAATCTCAAATCACGTCACTCTTCGATACCCGTCTAGATTGATCGCAAATGCTTATTTAGATGAATATTTTTTAGAGTTTCCCAGAAAACGTGATATACGTTAAACTTGTTAAAAATACTATTTTCGGGCAAACTGAGTTCCGGTCAAGGATAATTAGATCGTACTCAATTATTATAATATTATATAAAAGCAACCCTGGTTACTCACTCAACTTCAGTGTCAGCACTTTTAACACTAACTTTTAACTTTATCGGTGACGACGGTAAAATAATAATCGTATAATAATACAACTATACTATATAGGACCGAAAACTTTAATCGACTTTAATGACATGGTCACATGGACATATTATACCAAGTCAAATCATCTAACGCCATTATTATAAACGAGTTAGGTATCCTATGATGGTTAGTGTAATACGCATAGAACGCTGAACGTTTGAATCGCTTCCGAGTTAAACCATATCGAACTTTATGGGGGGATAGAAAAAAGATTATACCTACCATACGAAAGAAATAATATTCGACTTCGGCCATAGTACGAAATGGACCACCGCCGTGTTGACTGTGCGGTGCGACGTACAATAGTCGCCGTCGGTTATTTATCGCGTAGCAAATCCTCCGGCGGCACGATAGCAGGTATGGGCTGCAGATATATAATATATATATATTATATATATTGGTAAAGTTGAGAACCGATCGTAATATCGCGAGTCCGACCCCTCCCCCCTCCCCACTCACACTCGCTCGTTGCCCACATACCAGCTCACTGCTCACCCTGCTGCAGTATAGGTATGTTGTAGTAATCCAGAAGTTATAATCCTTTCGAGATTATTTCAAACGGTGCGGGTAGTATGTAAGTACGCGCGAATTCGGGAACGTTATAATATGATAAATTTATGATAAAAGTACTACGTGTACACGTACAACACTAATATACTTACTGTATAATATTATAATATACCTACAGGGTGACTATATCTTAAGACTTAGCGATTAATTTCCGAGAACAAATAATTGTATACGCTTTTATAATAAAGTTCGAGATGGGTGATAAAATGATAATTCAAATCTTTCAAGTCGTGTATGAAAACAATTTAAAGAGGAAAATTATTATATATATATATATATATTAGGTAGTTAGAAATTAGAATTGAACAGCCTGTTACGACCGAATATGAATTGAAACACCCCACTGGATATTTATTATAATAATAATAATAATAATAATGTTATATATATATAGAGCCATAGAGGGTAAATTGACGTTTTCTGGTATTCAATACGAGAAGTTAGAAACGCGGCGATTTCCGTTTGGAAAAACATACATGAAATATCTCACAGCAATAAAAAAAAATTATAATTTAAAAAGAAAAATATATAAGTATAGAATTTCAAACAGAAATCCGACCGACGATAAAATGTACGACAGTTTTGCGTTGTTGAGATAATCGTTCTGTATACATATATATACATAGGTACTCCCCACATAGCATTTATACACATATATATATACACTCGCATTTCGGTTTGTGGAGGCAATCGAACGGTATGCGGTGATTGGTGGAGGGGGGGCACGAGAAATAAATGCTGGTATTACCAGTATTTTTTTCCCCTCATACTTGTTCTCCATTTTTTTTCTCTCTCTATCACTCCTCCTCTTTCTGTCCCACTGCCGTATACATCGGTTCCCTTGCATCCGCATCCGCTGCCGATACCGCCGGAAATCTGTAAAGTCTCACGGTTCGCTAGAATCGCTGCGATCGTTTTCTAGTTTGCGCGATATCATCGCGCAAATAATGTCCACCGAAAAGCAGCGCCACACATACCCACACGCGCACACAGACCCACACACCCGCCCGTTCGGGCCAACCCCGCCGGCGGAGGCAGGGTCGGAATCGTCGTCGTCGCCGCCGCCGCCGCGGTCGTCCTGCTCCTTCGCGGCTCGTCCGTTTCACCGCCGACACCGCCGCGGGCACACATTGGCGAATTCAGTGTCGTGTCGCGTGCACTGCGAACAGGATATAATTTCGTTCGCCGCGATCCGCCACCGCCGTCGTACCACCGACTCCGCCGCCGCCGCGTTTACGCCACGATAATAATATATGATTTCCGACCTTTTCCGCTCACATACTTTGGCCACATAATATAAATAATATGTATACATTATTATTATAATATAATAAAATAAACCGAAATGTTATTGTGTTTCCGTCATTTCGTCCACCCCGTGCACGCAGCGTACTACAACAATAATAATCATAACAATGATAATAATATTTATTAAAATTTAAAACGTAATAGATTATTATTTTACAATATTTTAAATTTTTGAATATTTTTTTTAACTTACCTCCCCCGTTCGATTTTCTCACACCATTATCCCGTGCAACACTACCGGTTGCAATACGCTACGATTATCGTCGAGATCAGAATCTAATCGAGTCATCCTAACACGGAGCCACTAACTGTAGGTACAAAGTAACATTTCAAATATCACGTTTCGTATTATTTATACGTAATAATATTTTCTGTTAGAACAAGTGATGATCATACAAACTTTAATGTGTGATGATATATCATATCTGTAAATAGCTATGTATAGATTATTAGTTTTCAGAGTATTATTTTCAATACCGGAGTATAATCCACTGTTAAGTAGAGAATCCAGAAGTGTTTCCAGTGGGTGGGTTTCTTCGCCAAATCAGTCTGGTCGTTAACCTGCTTGTAAAACTTAAGCATATTACACAAGATGTGTATAGATTGTTTAATTAAAATAAAGCACAAAAAAAAAAAAAATTATACATTACTTTTTGTTTTTATTTCTAAACGGTCAGAATTCAAGTGTACTAGAAAGCTATTCTATAAGTATACAGAATGTTACAGAGATATATGACAAATGAAATAACTTATGTTCTAATCAATTTTTTTTTTCGTATAATTAATTGACAATAATAAATAATTAATACGTGTAATACAAGCATCTTTTAATTAAATAATGATAAAAAATAAATTTATTAAAACACGAGTATTTCATTTGTCATATCTTTCTGATACACCCTGTATAGTTGAATTACCTCAAAATGTTTGATTGCTATTTTGTTATGACCATTTACAATGTTTAAACACTAATACCCTCGCCCAAACAATCGTTTTACGATTTCAGTAATTTATTATTGTTATCTAACAAATTATTTTAATAGAAAACACTACGACTGTTTGGCGCCAAATCAAAGAAATCGAGAAGAATACAAAATGTCTTGATCCCGTGTGTTTTTTTTTACATATATGTCGTAAGCATCCAAGCGATATCAATATCTCTAAAAAAAAATAGTTTATTTACTTATAGTGATTGACACAGGTTAATATATAATAACTAATAAGCATAGTATAGTAAATAACCTGTATAGGTACCATTATAAACTTATATCCAACTTATAATGATAAACTGATAGATAATACGTACATATTTTATTGTCTATTTATGTATATAAATCGAATTACCATACTATATACATTTGCTATTTAGTATATACAAATACGGTCGTCCCAATTATTATAAAATTAGTACTGTTTTCAGTTGGGTACTGATGAATATTTCATACACGAATTTTGGTACATTCATTATACATCCTAAACATAGCTTTTCCTAACAAAATGGTCCATGCTGTTTTTACTCTCGAAACTAGAGGTAATTATGTATGTTTAAATCAAGAAATTATAAATATTTTAAACTTTATATTGTACTTATTGTAATCTGAAAATGTATATGAATTGAATTTAAAGTTGGGTTAATCATTTCCCCTAAAATATATGTTTATATATACGTATTTACTATTTATGTAGATTTAAAATGAAAAACAAACCATAATCAACCACTTAGATCATTACAATAATAATTTAAAAGCCGTATAAAATATACACGCCATTCAAATTGAATTGTAGTTTAAAATTTTCGTTTAAATAATGTTAAAAGTAAAGTTACAAATAATGATTATGCAAAACCACCAAAATCACTTAAATGAACACACACACACACACACTGATGTATATATTATGTTTACCTGCCTAACTATCAACTGTTACAATGTATATACCCCCACGAGAGACTAAATTAAAGTTAAATATTATACATACTAGATGCATATATACGATATACATACGTATATTATATTGTATGCGTATAATAAATATTATATGTACACAGGTAGAACTAAAACTATTGTGTGACAATATTATTGTACTTGCAGTACATAATTAATATAATAACAATTCAGAATGTATCAATAGAGTTTTTCGTACATTTGACTGATTATTATTATTATTATTTTATAAAATTATATTTAGTAGGTACCTACCTAAACCATCTAGTTTTTAATTATGGTAGGTACATTATCCACAGTTCAATGTAATAATGGAAAATTATAAATTCAAGTGGTAAGTTTAAACTTGCAGTATTCGTTAAGATAATGTAATTTATTTAAAGTTTTTAAAGTAGCATTAAATTGTATAGACATTCCATCATTCCAATGTTTTAATGTTAAAAATTGATAACAAGAAGAAAACATGTATAACTTGAAGTTATTTTCAAAATAAAAGTTAATAATGAGTAATTATTTTAGAACAGAAAATTGAAATACATCAAATAGGTATATAAATATGTCGTTTCAATAAAATATTAAAATGGATACCCTTTTTATGTTTATCATCTTAAATATTATACGAAGAATAATTATAAATATAAAACAACTCTAAAAACTTAATTAATTAAAACTAAAATAGAAAAATGAATAAAGAAACTGAACCATTGAAGTGTACTTGTTATTTTTAAGATTTTAAAGAGGTTGTACATTACACTATTGTAAAAACATCGCAGTTAAAATAATTTGTAATAAGTGTTTAATAATAACTAAGATTAATAAATAAAATATAAAAAAAGATAAAACTAATCATACATTTAATACTGGATAGTAATCTCTAATAATAATAATAATATTTTGATTTTAATTAAATTTGTTTTTTAACTTAATAAGTATTAATAGTCCTAACCTATTCATTGCACAGTATTTAAATCCTCACATAAAAACATTTTTTTAATTATATTATGTGATGATAACACAATTAAAAATTTTAAATAAATATTATATAGAAAAATAATTTATTGGTGAACATATTATTCAAGTATCATAAAAAAAACATTTCGATATATTTAAAAGTGATGCCTTTTTCGTGGTATAGGTACCTACATTTTACAGTATTTATCAATATTTCGAAAATTTTCATTTAGTAATAACTAGTTAAAAAATTATAATTAGAGTTTATGTATCTTTTGTATTCTGCTTGTATAAAACCTACCTATACTGTTTGAATCCGTGTATAATGTCTACTTCAGAATTATGTGAATTTTGGTTAGGTGTTTTTCAACGTAAACGAAATCCTGACGGTTATCCAAAGTTAAAATGCATCATTAATCGCCTTAATTGTTTATTTTCCTCACGTGTAGAATAAAGCTTTACATCGTTGTTGTTGAATACTTGAATAATGTATTTGTTGACAGGTGTGCAAAAGGAATTTAACTATCATTTTATATTAGTTTCCCTTGGTAGTCTTTATTTCTGGATATGATAAGGATTAAAGTAGAACTTTCTACTGAAAATTACTGTTTATAACGACTATGTAGACAAATAATAATTATGGTAGTTAAAAAAATAACCAAGAAGTAAGTTTGGGTACAAAAAAAAAAAAGTTTAAAAAGTAAAATGTTTCCAAACAAATAATCTTTATAATATAGTAGCCAATACACTGCATATCCGTATAGGTAGGTATATAGAAAGTATAGCGGTAAAATGATTACCTATTTATGCAAAGAGTCTATAAATGTCGTATCTATAAGTTCAAAAGATAGTGGATCTTTTATTTTTTAAATGTTATTACTTTTGATATTATTATAATTAGTTAAGAAACTTACATAATACATGTCTTTAGTTTTCAATAAAAGTAGGTATAGTTATAGGCATAGTTCGTATAATTATAGTTTATAGTCTAAACTTTCGAAAACTATATAACGGATATCAATGATAGATAGCTAAAAAGGATATCATTAACCATTACCATAGATATCATATCATTTATTTGGTGGATAATAAATGTTGACAATAGATTATTATCATCATAATATTATCATGGAAAATTAAATAAGAAAATAACTGCCAAATTATGTTTGGATAAAAACCCCTTGCTTGTAAATCATTTAAATTGTAAAATTTATTTTGTTAAAATAGATATAGGTGTATTATTTTCTTAATTATTATTCAATATAATTACTAGTTATAATAAATGGTTATTTTTTTCTTTTTAAAATGGGAGTTATTAAGTTTATCCTATAAAATTGAGATTCATAAAATTTTGTAACAGCCATATAAAATCATTTATCATATTTAATTTATTCAGACGACAGTAAGTAATGTTTATTTTTCGTCGTCATTAATATTTGATAAGGCACTTACACATTAGAGCAAGGGTTCCAAAACTTTGAAATGCGCTGGTTGTATATGATTTTTAACAAGGATTATGGGCTAAGAAAATAAATTAGCTCATTTTATATAATGTACATAGTACATTCTGTATGTATATAAAACCATTTTTTTTAATAGTCATTATTAATTATGTCCATTATTCAAATATAATTCAATATAAGTCTATACATTTTAGTTTCTTTACAGTTTTTGGTAATTACGCAGTTTGTTTTTTATTCTTAATTTTTAATTTGTATATTGTAATAATGGCTTACTTAACCCAAATCTGTAGGTCGGATGTAATTATTAGAGGACTCTCAAGATTAGGAAGTATGTATTTGCTTAATATGTGACTAATGGATTTGCATAATTTGAACTCTAAATGGAATTTAACGATATAAAATTACTTACGCAATTTCGCCTGAATACGCATACAAAACAAGTATCATATTATAAGAGTAAGAAATTGAATATAAACTAAAATTCAATTTGTATCAATTAACATAAAAAATTCAATAAATTGAACATATTTGAAAGTATTAGTTCAAAAGTTACAATTATTTTAAAAAGTTGCATTAAAATACTAGTTGTAACTTTAATGTAAAACAAAAATCGATTAGGTTTAATTTGTTTTTTTGTTTTGTTTCTTTAACAATTTCAAAATCATTTTCATTTTGGTTTGAAGAGTGTCCAGACACTCAAAACACATTGGATATCGAATAGCGGATACACTAAAATGATATGATATTGCCGGGTATTTATAGATTAAGCACTCGTCTCGTTCCGAGGATAGTATTGTCTATAATTATAATAATTTGAATTTGATAAATCTTCGTATAAAAATAAATGTATCTTGAAAATATGGTTTAAAAATAAAAAAAATAAAAAAGTATTAATTAAATACTATAAGATACTTATGATATATATAATCCTTAAATGTTATAAAAAATTCGATGATTCGAAAAATGATCTTCAAGTGTATTTAAAAATTCCAAAAATCTGAATTTCAATATATGCATAATTTAATTATAAAAATAGGATGAGTATATACTTAAAAAAAACAAACCTTGTACTAATATTTTAATAATTATTCATTTCTAATATTCATGTATTTTTTTTCAGGTTGTACCTATTTGTGTGCTGGATATGTTCTAATATCAATACACATTTACTGTACTGGTTCTTAAAACATCTTTGTTCAATGGATACAATACATCTATCAACTTCTGTAGTGTCCGTCGATAAAACAACATCTTCTTAAAGCACGGTTAAAAAACACATTGACAATGAAAACGTGCTCCATCCTGCTTGGCGTACTAAGCTGTTGGTACATATTGACGTCGAAAATGGTGAAATCTGATTCCGGAACTTCTACTAAAGGTTAATAAAGCAAACACAATTAGCACTTATTTAAAAGTAGAATAGTCAAACTATAATGTTCGTTAGTAATATTTGTTATGCTTAGAATGGAGTTGAAATGTTTGTAGGGATTTTCACTTTTAAGTAAGCATCCATAATATAACTGATGATGGCATTCAATTTTCATACATTGACTGAAAAATTAAGCTGAACAAAAAAACTTCAAAAATAATTATTTTTTCTCTTTACACATCAATATAATATAATACTTATTACGTAAATTATTTACACGCTTTTATTGTCTGTTGTCGATTACTTATTCGGGTAACAAAAAATGCCGGAGGTTGCATAAGAATCGAATGATATATTCAAATATTTCCACCATTTTTGTTACACGCTTAAACCTTATCGCTATATACATTATAATTAAGAATATACCAAAGAAAAATATATTCATGCATTTAAAATACCTCATAAATGTTTACCGATATCATATAACATATTATTTATTTTTTTACTTTAATTCATTTGATTATTACCCTCATCATCTTTCAATATCGTAAATATATTTCTCTATACAAATATTATAAATGTCTCTAAATAATAAAGTTACTTTTCAGTTTGAATGTTAAACAAAGCGTAAATATTAAAATCATTTCATACATTGTTCCATCCAAACTCAGTACCAGAAATTTTTACAAAAAAAAACTTATAAATTAGTTTCATAAAAATATTGTTCCCTTTTCAGACCGTGTTTATGCGAAACGACCTTTTGCAACTGGAAGTTTATTAACTTCCTGGCCCTTTCATTTAATTTATGGTCTCAAATATATATAAATATATTCCCACCAGCTATAACAACTGAACGTATTCCGGATTACTAAATACAGATTTGTAAAAAAAAAAAAAAATACTACTAATAATGATAAAAATACAAAGCGTTCATTTATATTTGTTGGACTGTTTTAAATAATTTATTACATTTATGCTGATATAATATACATATTACAATACATGAATTATATTCCCATACACATCTCGACACCCGACACCCACATAAAACAAAATTGAAAACTGAATATACATTTCCTCAAACGTTTTGTGTACTATAAAATTACACAGCATATACAAAAAAGATGTTTTTTATCAGACAGTGCAAATTATATTGTTAAATCTTTTTAAAAAAAAACTAAGCCGGTATTATTTTTAAAGGCACTAAAAGTAAATACCGTTAAATAACCTGAGGCCAGCATCGGTTTAATAATTTAAGACAGTAAATAAAAACTTTTTATCTATATTTCAAGTTATAGTAAACTTATAATATTATTATTATTATATTATCGTCGATGGTCATGCTTGCTATGTTTGTATTTGAAAAAATATACGTCTATATTATTATATTTTACCAACCTTACAAGTTACAGATTGTTCGACATAAGTTTTTTAGAAAATTGTATAAATATTTTTTACCGAAATTCATCGAATATAATATAATATAGGGAATATTCATTTTGAAATCACGGCACGTTGCATAGGCAAATTTACTACCTACATAAATATGTTCATAAAAAAGAGAGACAAGTATAGTAAACTAGAGGGTATGTCAACATTTTTTCAATTGTAAATGTGTACATAAATAAATCAGTTATAGGAAAAGGTATTTTATCGTTTGCCGTTGGGTAATTTTTGCTGAAAGCAAATAGGAAAATAATTATTTTAATATTATAGATAAATTGTATCAAATAAACTATTTTGGAAACAGAAAATTCTGTTACCTAGCTATATATTAAATGTAATAATTATAGCTTCATGTATACGTGTATAAAGTCAATAACGTAAATACTATATATCTATACTGTATCTAATATTTATATTGCAGTCGATTCTGACTATTATTTTAAACATTTTTTTATTACGCTTATTTGTACTTTACTTATTTGAACTAAGAGTTTATGTATTAACGCCATCTTGTATTGTTATACTTATACATCTAGATGAATGAATCATATATGGCAGATTTTTCAACGTGTTGTCGTGGGTTTGATCTTAAATTGAAGTAAACTATATTAAAGTGCCGTTATTGTTAATTCAGTCTGTTGTATTATTATTCTGTGGCCAGATTTTCAACGAGCTATGTATATTATGCGTCCATCGGTTTTCCTAAAATTCCATTCAAATTATGATTAAAAAAACCAACGTAAAAAATCAGCCATTGACTCATTAAAAATCAATTACGAGTATTATAATTCTAAATCTGTTGAGAACTATATATCATATCCTTTGTTAAAGCTTTGAACTAATTATTACAATTAGTGATGCTTTAGTGACTTAGTCAAACATACCGTAAAAAAGCTTATGATTTAAAATAAAACATATAAAACTATTAATTACTATGAATCCATTTTTAAAAAAAATTAATCTTTTCAAACAATACTATATATAATATACATTTATATATCATCATATTTATAAATAACTTATTTACCCGTTTATATTTTACCTATATATTATATTAATCAAATGAAACTAATATTAATATTAAGTACTTCAATGTCCTATTCTTTATTAATTCAAGGAGTAGCTAAACATTAATCAATTATCAGAATTCGTTGTATCTAAAGGATTTTGTTCATAAACAAATATAATAATTTGTATTTATAAAAAAAATATATATATTTTTTTTTATTTAATAAAATATTACAATCTGTTTACACAAAAAAACAATAAGTAACAATTATGACAATGATTAAAGAAGACATGTAGCACATGAAAAGGAGACTTACATATAGGTACTTTAAAATTATTTTCCAATAAATATCACACATATAAAATGTGAAATTCATCATAATAGACATGTTATAATTTATCAGATCATTTGTATGTTGTAAATTAAATTAATTAACTTCTAAACCAATTATAAATGTAATAAGGTGTTTACTTTACACGTGGTACTATTTCGGGTAGATTGTATGTCTCTTGATAAAAACATAAATAAAAATTAGAGTAAAGATTTTGTTCCAGAAAATTAAAATACATATTATGTAAAACTCGAATGGAAAACATGATATGATCAGCGGTACATAAATAATTGTTAAAATAAATAAACAAAATCGAAATGTATTTGTGATATAGCTATTTTACCTCTTATTCGTATATTTTATTCTTTATTGCAAGAGGTAAAAATCCAAATTGCTAAGCTGATTGGGCAGAACGCAAGTGATCAAATCGACTGTGAAATTGGACAACATAGTAGAATATGTTTTTTTTCCAGTTCACATCCCAATTTTCACGAAGAATAGTAATAATATAGTATACGTTATTCAATAAATATTTAAGTCATTGTTATTTTGTCTTGAACAACGAGTGTTATCCATGATGTTACAAAACTCATTCAGTAATAAAACATTGATGTGTCATTCAATAAAATAATTGTATGACTGTATTCGTGATATTACAACAACCAACGTTTTATTTATTATTAAATATATTTAAGAAAAAACTTATTTAGTAATGATCAGGACATAGGTAATATGACAACCGATAAAATGTTCAATAAGGTTTGGATTACTTTTAACTTTTAACAGTTAATATGCATTGAGGTAGTTGTTGTACAATAATTTGACTCGTTCAACTTTGGATTTAATAAGAACAACAAGTAGTAGGTAAAATACTAAACATGTTTATATTAAAACGTATATATGATGTTTCCTTTGATAAAATTAACGGTATAAGAAAGAACGGTAAATCAAAATCCATTGAAAAATATTTAATACAATATTTTGGTGAATGATATTAATGTTTTCACTTTGAAGTGATGTACATGAAATGGAGAACATAATTTAGTATAATGAATTTTAAATTATTATTTGAAGTAACAATCTACACTGACTTTTATTACTTAAACTATGTCTTATTTTCAATAACTTAAACCTTAATGTATCATTTTAATATATTGTGTATACAATTTTAGTAGTAATGTATTTTAGAAATTATAAAATATTATGTGTTTCTTCAGAAACGACAATAACTGTGGTAGTTGAGGCGTACTTTTAAATTAAAAAAATGTATATATATAATATATCTTTGTTTATTAATTTAATAATAAAAAAACAACTAAATATAATAAACATTTTAATTATAATTTGTAAAATGCGTCTTATAGTTTTAGCAGTAGACAATAAAACACTTTATTTAGATACCTTTTAATGTTACAACAAGAAAGCGCAATATCAACTTCTACCATTTATTAGCCTGCAGGTCATAACATTGCAGATTCTGTAGTTTTAAATATTTACTAGATAATGAAATAATGGCTTAAAGTTACAATTTTCTTATTACTGAAAACCAATCTTCAATATTAGAGAAGAGGTGATCTCTTTAAAGAAATTGAATAAAGTTAGTACTTTAGAAATCAGAAATTCTCAATTATTTTATAAGTTTTAAATTTTTAATATTGAGAAAAACAAAAACCATGAATATTTACGCAATACCATGTTTCAAAAAAGTCGTTTTTGTATTTTTGTTGTAATTTAAAAAAGAATAGTTTGTGGTGTTCCATAATAAACCGATGGATTTGGATCTCGCTACTCTTCGATGAACGGAATGGGTGAGTGGATGGATGGATGAGTTGGTAGACCAATTATTCAGCTTCAGTCTCCGTCCTAGGTCCGTAGTGATGGGGGAGCAATGCCCCCCCCCCCCAAGAAATATTTCTACTGGGGGCCTTGGTCCAAGACATACTTTGGGTTTACGGTATAGGCATTTTTTTTAAAACAGCCATAAGACATTGTAAAATTCTACATGAAATGCTTGCTGGTGTACTAAACCTTTAGAAAATTCCTTTTCGAGTATATAATATGTAATGATCGCTACCAATATTAATGATATTTTGTCCCATTTCCATACATAATCTGCTTTTGTTACAGTATCTTTTAAATACAATAAATACGTAATTCGATCAATTTTCTCCTGTTTTAAACGCATTTGTTTTTTATGTCACACGCTGTGTTTAGACTAATTTA